TGTTGTCTTGCCCACCCTCCTCTGCCTCATTCCCTGTCCGCCTCTCCTGGTGTCTCTGCGTCACCCTCTGTCTGTCTCTGCCTCAGGAGGATGAGTCGCCTCGCAGTGTGCTGGAGGAGATGGGTCTGGCGTAGCCCCCGCCTGGGCCGCGTGGAGATGTGGGGAGCTGGTGGAGAGGCAGGGCATGAGTGCCCCCTTTTCTCGACGGGACCCAGCTGTCCCTCCTCTGCTGCCTCACCTTCTTTCAGAGTGAGCTGTGGGCTCAGGACCCTCAAACATTCCCTCCCTCCACCTCTATCTCCTGTTTCCCCTTTCCCCAATGAAGGTTTTAGGAGGTAGGCAAATGTGACCAAAATGGGGGTGCTATTTGGCTTTCATTCCCTGCCTTTGAAGAACTAATGTTACCCCAAACTCACTCCCCTCCCTTATAACTGTAAATATATAAATATGTCAGGTTAAAGGGAAAAGGTTTTCAGGGTTCTTCTCTGCTCCCTGCCCCAAAACCTACCTCCACCCTGCCCCATAGTCAGCCAGGGCATCTTCTCTGCCTGGGGCAGGGGCGGGGAGGGGGGTCCTGTGTATTTGAGAGGGAAGTCCTTTCCCCTCATCTGCCCTCCTCCTCCCTCCTCCTTGGCTGCAGTGGGGACTCTGTCCAGTGCCAGGGGAGGGACAGCGTGGTTAATTTTTTTCTAACCTTGCCACTTTGAGGGAAGTGAGCTTTGGGGGAAGGGCAGGCTTTATGGGAGACTGTCCCTCCCTCACTCCGTGTTCTGGGTGAGGCAGGAGCTAAGAGGTGGGGTGTGGGAAGTGGCTGACTTTATTTCCTTTCCTCTGAAATAAAAGGAAAAGCATTTCTGGACTTTGCCTGCTTAGGCTCTGTGAAAGAAGGAAAAGCTTCTGGGATCAGTCAGGAGGGGATGGGAACACTGCCTCTTCACCTCCCTGGAACTAGGTTTGCCAGAGTTAGAGAGAGAGAGGAAGAAAAAAATACAGGACACCCAGTTCAATTTGAGTGATAATATTTTTAGTTTATGTGTCCTATGCAAACACATCCGCTGTTTATTCAAAATGAAATTTTAACCGGGTGTCCTGTACTTTATCTGGTACCCCTATTCCAAATGGGTTTGTGAGCTCAGTGCCTTTCTGAACACGGTGTCTCCGGCTCTGGAGCTGCCTTTGGCCAGGTAGGAGCCATTCCTGGGGACATAGTTTCACACCTCTGAGGTTTCTTTGTGGAACATTTCATTCGGCTGTTTTTTGTTTTTGTTTTTATTTCTTTTGAGAGAGAGAATGCTGGAGCGAGGGGCAGAGAGAGGGGGGTCAGAGAGAATCCCAAACAGGCTAAGTGCTGTCAGTGCAGAGCTCGATTCGGGGCTCCATCTCACCGTCCATGAGATCGTGACCTGAGCCAAAGTCCAGAGTTGGACACTTAACTGAGCCACCCAGGCGCCCCTCAGCTGGTTTAGTTCTATTTGGAGAGAGGAGTCAGGAGTTCAACAGTATATCCAACCCTGTGTGCTTTGCAAAGGGTTGAGAAATGTCTAAAAGCAAGGTGTTTCTATAGCTGGAGGCCCTTCTTCCCTGTTTGTTGCGAAGTATGTAGGACCAGGGAATTTAGGGGGCAGTTAAGGGAGGCGAGTAGGTGGAACAGGGACTGTGGGGAGCCACCAGTACTGCCTAAGAGGCCAGAGGACATGGACAGAAGAGCCTTCAAAGTGGCCTGGAGCTGCCCCACCCTGGGGACCAATGACTTTACCCCCCGCCACCACCCCTAAGCTGGAAGTGGAATTTAAGCTTTCTTAGTAGATGTGGGCCATATTCTACTCTTGAATATGGTTGAAAGTGGTTCCACTACCCTCACTTTGAACAGGGTGTTGTGGCTGGCGCTTCCCTCACCGCCCCTTGGGGAGGACCACGGAGGCCCAAGGGGACGGGTGAATAAGGGAGAACAAAGTCCTAATAAAATAGTCACTTTTATTTCTTAGCAAAACTATTTCCTCCGTGAGGGGTATTTACAACAGAGAAGGGAAAGAATAGGTAAGTTCACACCGAACTGGAGAGGGTGGAGAGGCTCCTGGGAGGCCCAAAGGGCAGGAGACAGACACTTCTTCACACAATTAACTGGAATAGCTTTTTCCGGTTTTGGACGGGGACGTCCCGAGAGGGACTAGTGGGGACCAGAGGCCGTGGTAGGAGAGGGAATTCGCACAAACCACCCGCCCGCCTGGGATGGCCCCGGGAGCCCCCTTGAATGAATTTGGGGAGTTCGGGCTTCGAATCCGGGAAGCTGTCTGACAGGTCCCGGCGCAGCCCTGGGGCGGGGCGACCCGGGGGTAGGGGCGGGGCCAGGCGGCGGCCAGGGATGGGGCTGGGGTGCATGCAAACACCTAGAAGGGGAGAGGAGCAACACGGAGGGGGGGTGGCAGCGCGCGCGTCTCCGGCGCGCGGGGGCGGGACCGGGGCAG